GCCGCTGGTAGAGTTCGCTTACAACAATAGTTATCAGTTTAGTATAAAGATGGCCCCATATGAGGCATTATATGGGAGGAAATGTCGTACTCCATTAAATTGGTATGAACTCAAAGATCGAAGTGTTCTTGGTCCGGATTTAATTCAAGATGTAGAACAAAAAGTTTGAGAAATTCAACATAACCTCAAAGTGGCCTCTGATCGGCAAAAGTCCTATTCTGATCTTAAAAGAAAAGAGATTGAGTTCGAGGTTGGAGATAAAGTTTTCCTTAAAGTATCTTCTTGGAATAAAATATTACGTTTTGGTCGGAAAGGAAAGTTAAGTTCTAGATTCATTGGGCCATATGAAGTTGTTAAGAGAATAGGACCCGTGGCATATCAGTTATCCTTGCCACCGGAAATGGAGAAGATCCATAATGTCTTCCATGTGTCCATGTTACGAAGATATAGGTCTGATCCCTCTCACATCATTGCACCAGAACAAGTAGAAGTCCAATCGGATCTGACATATGAAGAAGAACCAATGAGAATATTGGCTTTTGAAGTCAAACAGTTAAGAAGTAAGACAGTTCCGTTGGTCAAGGTTCTTTGGAGAAATCACAAAGTAGAAGAAGCTACGTGGGAACGTGAAGAAGATATGCGACTTCAATATCCCCATCTGTTCATACAATGAAAATTTGAGGACGAATTTTTTTAGGGAGGGAGATTTGTAACATCCTCCATACCGGGTTAGTGATCAAATTGTGAAATTATAAAATTCAGTGACCAAAGTAGATAAATTGAATAGTTGAAAGATTTAATGGGAATGTTTTGTGTATGATCAATTAATAAAGAAGGAGGAACTAAAGGGGTAAAGGAGTCTTTTAATAGGGGAAATAATTAAATATTAGATGAGGATATTTAAATCCACGTGGAAGGCAAATGAAGAGAACAAAAGTTTCCAGATTTCTCTTCTTCTTCACTTCTTCTTCTCCATCGAGAGACCAAGCTAAAGGTGAGTTTTCTTGTTGATTAAATTCTTGATGAATTTAAGGTTTCTTATTGATCCTTAGTTGATAACTAAGCTTAAGGAAAACTTAGATTATCTTAAAACCATAAGATGAGGAGAATATGAAGAATCAAATAAAGGAAGTAAAAAAGTGAAATCTTGGATTAGAGTTCCTAATAAGAATTAGAAGTGGAATTTGACTTGTCATAAAGCTAACTAAGAAGTATGAGGTGTTAGAATTCAAATTAGAACATGTTGGAATTTGGGTTAGATTCTTAAATTCTACATGGAGAATTGGATTTTTAAGTTTCAAAAGTATGGAATGGATAATAATTAGTTTAAGTAAGAGTATGCAAGTTAAGGATATATAAAGAGGGGAAATATAAAGTTTTAAATAGACTAAGAAGAGATTTTCGTGCTAAAATGACAATTCTGGGCAATGTGCATCGATGCACATTCATTGTGCACCGATGCATCGATGATAAATCCTAGAAATTATTTAAGGTGCATCGATGCACATGCAGTGCATCGATGCATTAATTTAAAAAGAAAAAATCGAATAGGATTTATGCATCGATGCATAAGGAGTGAATCGATGCATCCCCATTAAATACAAACATCGAATAGGATTTATGCATCGATGCATGGTGTAGTGCATCGATGCATACCTCCATTAAAAGATGAAAATGGCTTTTCTTTTAGCCTGAGAAATGATAGTTTAGAATATATTAATTAGTATACTGATAAGTATCAATGAATTACTATGTAGATATCGAGCCTAAACGAGTTCCGGAACCATCAACAAGTAGGATCAATCGAGGGAAAGATAAAGAAATCTAGGTGAGTGCATATGCATAGCATGAATATGTATTTTATTCAGTTCTAGACTTGTGATAAGTCTAGATTCAATATTTTGATACATGATAGTATTTCATATTATGATATATGACATGAATCCATACCATATGCATTATGAGACATGAATATGCAAGAAAAAGTTATACGAGTTATGTGATAAAGGTATGAAAATAATATGTCTACGTGATACAAATAAGATAAATTGTGAAAGCCCATGTTTTGTAAATGAGAACTATAGGTATATTTGGCATGCCAAGGGTAGAGGGTCTATGTGGTCCTTCGGGACATATATGTATTCTTTGGAACATGTGTGAGGTCTGGTGAGACACATACTTGATCCTTGGCATATGTATATGATTCTTAAGGAATGATATGTGGTCCTTCGAGACATATATGTATTCTTTGGAACATGTGTGAGGTCTGGTGAGACACATACTTGATCCTTGGCATATGCATATGATTCTTAAGGAATTATATGTGGTCCTTATGGACATTATTATATGGCACTACGGTGCAATTCTACGCGGCACTCCGGTGCAATTCTACGTGGCACTTAGGTGCAATTATATGAGCTGTGGTGGCAGCATAGTGCACAACCTCACAATACTCACATACCTTAGGTTCTCTGTATGGTACCATGGGCTAATGAACTTACTAAGGCGAACTTATGAATGTGAATTTGATAAGTATATGTGTAAGAAACATGGTTCTGGTTATTGCATTATTTACATACATCTTATCATTGCAACCCATCTTATTTTGGCAATTACTTTATATTTATCGATATTATTATTATATTGCCTCACTAAGTCGATGACTTAGCGTGTGAGTGTTTCACACGTAGGATCCGATAAAGTAGACGATCGAGGTTAAGCAGTTGGACAACATTACTCCTGCAACTATCAGATCAGAAGCAACTTAATCAGTAGGTCATTTTGTTATGAAAATGGATGTTGACATGTAACTAAAGAGTTAAGTTGTGTATGCTCTGAATATTTTGGTAAACTTATATTAACATATGTATATTATTGTATTTTTCGTAATATAAGTTCAAATATTTTGCTATTATTTGTAATGAGTTGTGTTTTAAAAGTCAATGTAATATCTCTGACTCGTATCCGGGTTGGGGGTGTTACACCAAGGGAGGTGACCTATGTTACCTTCAAGCTCATGAAGGTGCTGCCATAGGAGTCTTCTGGTAATGCCATTGTTACTCCCATAAATTGCTGAGATAACAATGGGAACACTTTGGAAGTGACATTGGATAGAAACACACTGGTCAGAGGCTTGGATAACAGATAATGAAAGATTTTTTTCCATAGGATCCATATCCTTCCATTGGAAGCATGATCATAATTTGAAAGGACATTCCAGTCAGCAAACTTAGAACCAATTAAGGCAACAAACTTTTCAGCTTTCACTCTAGTCTCAAGTAAACAAAAAAATCAACTTTTATTTGAGAAGCTCTTATTAATACCCTATCTTATTTGAGAGGACAATTGAGCCCTCTAACATTCCAAAATACTAAGATCATTGAGAAGGGAAATCATAATTACTCCCTCTACCCTCATCTACATTAGATTTAGCATTATCAATTTTTTCTTTCTTTTTTGATTTAAGGTCTTTGACTATAACAGCCTGACCTAGTGAAGATTCCCGATGTTTTCTATTAAGGTCAACAGGTGCAGATGGGATTTCCTCAACATCTTGAAGAGCCAGGAACGAGTTAGAAAATCCTGAGGAGTCCGAGGAATGTTTGACTTTAACAGGTCTTCCCCTTTCTCTTTTAGGGATAGAAGAAGGGGGTTTACCTTTACTTGTTGAGGAAGAAGCATTGGAATCAGGATTAGAAGGTTCCTGATTAACCTCAGCAGTATTTGCTTCAAATTCTGTAACAACAGTTACTGGACTAATCTGAAGTTCCTCAATTTTGTCAATAGGAAAATTACCACTGTTTGCATTGTGCTTACTATCTTCATTAATTGCATTAGAGAGAGAAGTTGGTTTGTCTTGAAGAAGCTCAATACCTCCTACAGGGGATTCGACATCGACAACAATAGGATTTGGTTCTTTTTTCCTCCAGACTTGAGGATTAACAGTTGCTTGGGTCTTTGAAGAATAGACCTTCGCATTGTGACCAAAAGATTTACAGTTAATACACATAGCTGGCAACCAAGGCACCTCTACCACAATCGAAACTGATGTTCCTTCTGATAGAACCACATCAACAGTTTTAGGAATTTTATCATTTATCCCTATTTCAATAAAAAGTTTAGCATACTCTAAATAGGTTTTAGCTGCAGTGACAGTGTCCATAGAAAGAGGAGTTCCAATGACACTTGCAATGTAGCTAAGACCAGTTCGAGAGTAAAGCCCTAGAGGGATGTTGTAGAGATGTACCCAAATCGAAATACTAGAGAGATCAAAACTAAGTTTATTAAGATTCGACTCCTATTTACGCATAATAAGTGGTTTGTTTAAGACATGTCATAGCCCATGTTCTAAAACCCAATCCCGAGCATTTGCAGAAGAGAAAGTGAAAACATAAAGATTATTTCCAACAATGCTAACCTGAATTTGTTCTCCCGCGTGGGATTTCCTCTACAAGCTGTCCACCAATCGTTGCATTGAAGAAAAGCTCGGGGTTGCGCCAAGAAACTGACCCACTAGAGAGAGGTTCCATTCTTTGATTCCTGATTCAAGTACCTCTTGAGGGGGATGGACAGATAGGGATCCATCGTGAACCCTAAGAGGGAAATACTCCAAATCATGACCCTCTGGGCAAGAGAAAAGCTTCCTCCAGTCCACGACTTCACGCGAGGAAGGCGAAAAACCAATCGCAAAGAGAAACAGAGATGAGGGCACCAAAAGACAGCAAAGGACACCAGAGACACGACGGAGGAGCTCGGAACCGTTAGCCATGCTAACGTGCACCCAGAGAAACTCATATTTCTTTCGTGTTCAATCATCTTTTTGAATCATACTCGAGTTTAAAAGATTATCTTTTAAAATAAATTTCATTAAGGTAATAATTCATCATATATATATATGCTAGTTTGTAGCTATCAATATTTGCTATTTTTTTTATTATCAGCTCCAATCCATCCAGATACAAATGGGAGTGTCAATTCTTTTTTCTTTTCTATTTTTATTAAAAAAACCCATAATTTAAAATTTAGTACATTGTTGATGAAAATCAATTAACCAAGAATCCCCTCAGCACCAAAATCTTTATTGTATTGTAAAAAAAATACAAAACTGCGGCAAACATTGTATCAGAACAAAATGTAAAATAATAATAATAAAAAAACATCAAAGACATCTCCAGTTCACCATTGGCCACCAGCAGGACCAGCCATGCTTTTACATGTAAAGAATAATATAGAATGGTGAACGGCAGTATCTTACATTGGAGGCTGACCGCCAGCACTCAACATCTGGCCAATCATACTATTCACCTACAAAAATAAGAAAAGTTGTATGCATCACTATCAAATTTCAGCCAACTAATGAGAAAATAAAATACAAAGATCAAACAAATCAAAGAAAACTCAGCAAATCAAGACTCGGGTAGTAGTTTGACTCAAATTGGAAATATGATTACAAGAACTTTAAGCAAAGTATTAGGACCAAAAATACAACCATGTGTTGTATACAGCTTGTAAATAAATAACTCAGGTAAATTAAGAATAGAACAAGAGGATGCAATTATATATAGTTAGTACAAAGACAAGCTTACTTTGATAATATGCACACATGCATATATATATATATATATATGCATGAATACTTTGAAACCTAAGCTTACTTACCTGCCAATACTTTGAAACACAGCGATCAATGCAACTATTTTCACCCATGTTTAGCTCAGCTTCCTTGTACCTAAAGCAGAAAGATATTATGATTGACACCATTTCCAGGGGGAAAAAGTAACGTGTGTATTATCTCTCAAATAGATTGACAGACGCAACAAAAAAGGTGGGTGGGATTGTGGCAATTCATACCTTTTGTCAACACACTTGTTGAAACATGTTTGTGCAAGCCTGAATAAATCACAAAACAAAATGAACTCAGGAGTATTGGAAATAAAAACTTGATAGTGGGAAAAAATTGTCACACTATGCATAACAACAAAGCTAATCAGGCCACAAAGGTCCTCTTTCAAATTCTGAGCCCTGAAATTTTCATTTCTTGGCAGATATAGTAAGCATACAAGAAAACTAATTTACAGGCGTTTCTGATAGAAATCCTTTTATTTTTATCTTGAAAGTTTCCTATAGCAATCTTGACATTACTTTTTAACTTAAACATGTACTAGTACATTAACGTTTAGCAATTCTCTCTTACCTGTTAAAGAGTTCTACCCGATACTCCATCTCTGTTTCAGCCATGCCAAAGGCCTGCCATGTTTTCAAAACAAAAACTTCAAATCATCCACATTGCAAGAATAGAAAATAAACACCTAAATTACAAACTTTTAATCAAAACCCAAAACGAAATAAGTCTCAAAAAACATTTCCCATTAGTTAATGAGAAAGAGCGAAACACCTTAATACATTGAGACCGGAGATCTAAAATTACTTAGAAGGTCCAAATAAAGCAAAACAGAAAAGGCAAATTAACCAGCCGAAAAGATCCAGGTATTTTCTTCAATGCTTTAGCTCATGAACTAAAGGGGAAAACAAAGTATAAAAATAGTTAACCTGCTCTTTGTCTATTCCAGCCGGCGTGTTGGGTGCAGCCATTGAAACCCTAAGCAACAAACAAGGTTGATAAAAAAGTAACCATAAATATCAGGTGTAAACAATTAAGCAATATTGGAATAAAGGTTTTTTTTTTCCTTTTCCAATCTTACTTGCAAGACTTTCCTCGGGCAGGGTTAAGTATTCGCCGAAAACAAGGAGAAATGGCGAGAGAACCCTGTTCAGCGAGTCTTTACTAGGTTCGTTAAAATCGAAAGTGAATTAGGGTTCTAAGATAATTATAGGGTGTAGCTACGATGTACGAGAAATTGGATTTACTCCGTGCTTAAAACTGAATAAAAACACGCTACGTCATTGCTTAAATGGGGGCTAAATTTGTAAATTGGATTTACTCTATAACTATTCCTAAACCTAAATAAAAATCAGGTATTTTAGGAAGGTTTAGAATTTGGATATAAAAATATCTCATAATCTTCAACAGAAGAGGATTTTGTTTGCTTAAATGGACCATTTTCTTCTAAAATATGTTGTTTATTTTGAGTTGTTTTTAAAAGTGTTTTTTAAGATATTTCATTCTTTAAAGTTTAATTCATTATCTTATTTATTTCAAATCGTTAACTTTATTAAAAATAATAAAAATAAATTATATATATATTTTTTAATTTTTTTTACGATTCTATTTTACTCACCTAATTATTTTTTTAAAATCATCTCTAGAAACGTAAGGAGAAGTAAGGACAAAATAATCATTAGCAACTATTTTTCTTCATTACTATGGCTGTAAATGAGACGAGACAGATCGCGAGCTACTCGAAATCGACTCGATCAAGGTTTGATAAATACTCGGATCGAATGGACTTGACTCGAGCTCGAGCTCGACTCTAGTTCTTAACGAGCCGAAATGAGCTACTCGGTATTCAACTCGAAAAGCTCGTGAGCAGCTCGAAAGAAATGTTATATTAAAATTTTAGATTTTTTAAAATTACATTATTAAAAATATATTAAAAATACATTATTGATAATTATAAAATTTTAAAAATATATTAAAAATTATATAATACAACTACCCTCAAATTTTAATTTTAATATATTAAAATTATTTATCTAATGATAAATATTTAATATATTTTTAATGATAATATTTTTAATAACTAATTTTTTAAAGAGAAAATCGCCTCAGTGACCAAAAATTCCTTATAATATACGATTTTAATCAACTTTTTTTGGATTTGCCAAAATGACCAACAAAATCGCAATGCGAAACAAAAATCGCAACGCGATTTAGAAAATCACAATGTTGAAAAGAAAATCGCAACGGTCAAAAGAAAATCGCAACGCGATCTTCCAAGAATCGCAATGCGATTCAAAGAATCGCAACGCGATTGAGAAAATCGCAACGCGATTCCAGGAATCGCAATGCGATTGAGAAAATCGCAACGCGATTCCAAGAATCGCAAAACGGCAAAAGAAAATCTCAAAAGTAGTAGAGCTGTTCGTATTGCATTTGTTTCTTAAGAATTTTCTCTAAAAAGATAGTATCCGCGCGGACGTGTCGAAGACACGTATTACCACGACCACGACCACGACCACGACCACGACCACGACCACGACCACGACCACGACCACGACCACGACCCGAGACGAGACGGCGGCGGCGGCGGAGCGCGAGAGTCCCCCTTGTTCTCTTTCACTCAACAAGGAAATGAGAAATTCAAACCTTAAATACACTTCCCAATAGTGTTTCCAATACTATGTGGGATTGAACATTACCAACAATCTTCACATGTCAACCTATTTTGCTAAGAGCTTGAGTGTGACTATAAGAGAGATTAGTTCATTTGGTATGCCAAAATTGTTTTGTTTAGTGAAAAAGGGTGGGTTGCCGTATACAAATATAATTTCTACCCGGTTATGCATACATGTGGATTTATACACAACAATTCTACATTCAAGACTCTCCTCATAGCTGATCAATTTCTTGTAGATTTTTTGTTGCTTTGTGATATTGGAGATAAAGTTACAAGTTATGATTTTAAATTATCTACTGGATGGAACTGGAAGCATAGTTCAAGTTTATTACAAGGTCCAAAGTTCCACCAAAGGTTGCAGGGACATCATTTCACGACAAATAAAAGCAATTTACTTGGCTTATGGTTTATTAGTTACACTTCTTCAAATGAACTAATCTCCAACAATTTTAGTGAATGGCACAGTCAAATTAAGCACACAAAATAGGTTGACATGTGAAGGTTGTTGGTAATGTTCAATCCCACATAGTATTGGAAACACTATTGGGAAGTGTATTTAAGGCTTGGATTTCTCATTTCCTTGTTGAGTGAAAGAGAACAAGGGGGACTCTCGCGCGCCGCCGCCGCCGCCGTCTCGTCTCGTCTCGGGTCGTGGTCGTGGTCGTGGTCGTGGTCGTGGTCGTGGTCGTGGTCGTGGTCGTGGTAATACGTGTCTTCGACACGTCCGCGCGGATACTATCTTTTTAGAGAAAATTTTTAAGAAACAAATGCAATACGAACAACTCTACTGCTTTTGAGATTTTCTTTTGCCGTTTTGCGATTCTTGGAATCGTATTGCGATTTTCTCAATCGCTTTGCGATTCTTGGAATCGCGTTGCGATTTTCTCAATCGCGTTGCGATTTTCTCAATCGCGTTGCGATTCTTTGAATCGCATTGCGATTCTTCGAAGATCGCATTGCGATTCTTGGAATCGCATTGCGATTCTTTGGCTCGCATTGCGATTCTTGGAAGATCGCGTTGCGATTTTCTTTTGACCGTTGCAATTTTCTTTTCAACGTTGCGATTTTCTAAATCGCGTTGCGATTTTGATATCGCGTTGCGATTTTGTTGGTCATTTTGGCAAATCCAAAAAAAGTTGATTAAAATCGTATATTATAAGACATTTTTGGTCACTGAGGCGATTTTCTCTTTTTTAAATTGTTGTTATATTTTGAGGTTTCGGATTCAAATATCGTAAATATCAAGGGTTTGAGCATTTAATATCAAAATATTATATTGTACTTACCTCATAACTAATTTTTTATTTGACAATAAATATAATATAATAAAAATATGATTCAATTTAAATATTAATAATTTAAAAAAATATATCAAAATAGAGTGTAACCGATTTTATAAAGAATTAAGAAAGAAAAAACTCATTTAGACTTACATTAATATCTTAATTAACAAAATTAATGGCATCAAATCATATTTAAGAGAAAATGATCATCCCTACTACTAACATGTATCATATAAAGTAAAACAAGACAGATATATATGCATTACTATATTCTACTCTAAAAAAAAAGAAAGTAATAATTACAGAGTTGGAAAATCGAAGCAGTAAATAAAGAGAAGACTGAGAAGAGAAGAGGAGTAGAAATAAAAAAGACTCAAGCTTCTTATTAGATTTTTGTTCTTCAGAAAGCAAAAGAAAAACAAGTCTATTCTCTCTCCTTTCACTAAGTCATCTCATCCCTTCTAATTATATGATATGATTTAGGGTTTAGGGTTTAAGTTATGCATATGAAGGTAACATACAAATTATGCAAAATGCTGTTATGTGACTCCTAAATAAATAATTCGCATACTTATACATAAACATATCAACATGCAAAATAAATATACACAACTAATTAAAGAAAACAATCCTAAACATGGACTAAATTAATAGAAACTTAAATGTGAGGACTAATTTAAGCTAAATATACTAACTTTAGAATGATGATTAAATTTACATAAATGTAAAATTAAACTTACAAAATTGGAATTAAACCAATGACTTAAATACAAAATGCGCATAAACTACAGGGTCTTATATGCAATTGATCCTATTTGATTTAAACTAAAATAATATGGAAAATAACATAAATGACACCTGAACATTTAAAACAAATAAGAAAATTTAAACAAATGAGGGACCGTTTTGTACAAAACGCATAAATCTAGAGGGCCTAAAGCTAATTTACCCCTAATTAAAAATAACATCAAGGTTGAACTCAAATATCTTAAATGTTTACTTGGCATAACCCTAATTTTCTCACAATCAATAACATCAGTAATAGAAATTGATTTATTTAAGTTATTTTTTTCAATTCAAATTTTCTGATTTTTAAAACTTGAGTCGGGATGAATTTTACAATTTAAATTTATGAATTTTTTTACAAATATCACTTAAATCTCTGATAGTTTAAATATATATAAATTATTCCCTCTCAACAAAAATTATAAAAAATATTTAAAATCCAAAAAAAGATTGTATACGATTCTTAAAAATTCGTTAAAACTTAAAAACAAAATAAAAGGTTAAATTAAAAAAATAAAATTATTCCAAAATAATAAATTCTAGGCATTATATAAATAAAAATATTTATTTTACTCAATTTATTTAAGAATATTTAATTTAATTTAAAATAATAAAATATCAATTTAATTACTTTTACCAAAAATTATCCAATACTTACATTCACCCAAAACAGAAAGAAAGAAAAAAGAAAGTGAAAATGAAAATGAAAATGAAAATTGAGAAATTAAAGATATGAAACTAAATAGTGCGCATGTGGCGTGAGAGTGGTGAATTGGTGACTCAGCAGAATCCATTTGAACAAGCAATGATGAAGAAGCAGCTTTACCACTCATCAGCTGGTTCAACTCTTGTTTTTGCACAAATTCCTTATTATTTTAGGAAGAAATGCTTCAATTAGTGGAGGATAAATTGATGGAGTAGACTTTAAAGGGCACGATGAAAGGATGGAAAATTGAGAGTATATTTAGCAGAAGATGGGAGCTTGTTGGAGAAGAGTTACAGAAGCAGAAAAGACAGGAATCTCACATCTTTAAGATAGAAGCATATACCCACAAGTGAGCTTATAAATTAAAGCGTAAATTCATTAGTTTAATTTATGGAGTCACGCGGTTAGTAGTTTCGAGTTTGAATTGAGTTCAGAATCGAGCTCTTGAATTTTATTTTGAGTTTGAGTCTTTTTGAGTTTGTGTTGAGTTTCAATTTTTTTTTCGAGTTTGAGTCGAGTTTGAAAATTTTAGGCTCGCTAGTTTTCGAGTTGAGTTGAGTTTATGTTTAAATTTTTCGAATTCGAGTTGAACTCGACAATACTCGAATTCGACTCGACTCGTTTACACCCCTATCCATTATCCGCTAGTCTTCTCCATGAAAAATTACATAGTTTTATCCATTAAAACCAAATACATGTAGGGGTGTTCATTCGGTTAAAACGGCGGCCG